GGAGATGGTGAACATGACCACAGTCGGTCCCGTCCCTCAGCGTAATCAGATCAAACGAAACGACATCCTTGACAGTGTAAAGAGGCCCTCATTGCAATGTGGCAACCCCTTGCCCCTTGGAAAGGTTTGGTGGGTTTGCTACCACATGGCATTTCCCTAGATCAGAACAAAAGCTCACAGTTGCAATGATGATGGTTTTGCTCCCAATATTTACATGGCAGCAATTTGCAAACCTGTTAGTTTTCCAAACTAAACAGTTATGAAAAAGCCTGGAGTTGAAGTGAAATCAATCATATATATGGGTACAGAACTGCCCGGCTATGTCTTTGCATACAGTGGTCCACACACACACACACACACACACACTTATATATATGAAACCATTGTTATATATAGTAAGTGTTATATATAGCTGGTGTTATCCCAGGTGTCATGTGGCTGCTCTGAGTATTCCTCTGCATACAGTAGATATCTATCTATCTATGGATATATATAGATATGCAGATAGAGAATCATTAGTGTGTGTGTGTGTACACACACACAAACACACAGATACAGTCGGACCCTGAGTTACGCGGGGGATACATTCCTGAAAAACACCATGTAAGTTGAAACCACGTAACTCGAGGCATGAAGTCAATGGAAAACAGGGGGATAGGGACCTGGAACTGAGATTTGATAACATTATTTCAGCAAATGGCTCGGCGTCACTGCTCTCATCTTCACTCCCGGCTACGTGCTCATACAGAGACAAAGCATTAGCCCTAATTGCTGCGCCGTCGACAACTGCTCCTTTTGTATTGGTCATTTCATTGATCCAAAGATTAAGGAGTTTCTCAACCTTATCTAAACGAGGAGTGCTAGTCACCAATGGCACTCTTGAACTCGCAGGGGTTGCCGTTTTCACACAGTCTCTAATTTTTGCTCGCTTTTTTTAATGGTACACACAGTCGATTCACTTAAACTGTATTGGCAAGCAATCGACACAGCACTATTGGCTTCTCTTAATTTATCATGGATTTCTATTTTCTTACATTCTGTTTTGGGCACAACATCACAGGCTTTCTTTGACGCCATTTTCACAAATATTCAGGGGTAACGTAACCAAAAATGATGGACAGTCTTGGAGGGGACGACAAGTGATGCTAACGCTATGTAAGCAGACTCCAAACTAACACCCGCTCTACTGCAGACAGCGTAAATGTGAAGCAGGGTATCGCGTGAGTTGAAACATGGTCACGTTATATAAAGCGTGTATACATGAATCAGTGTAACTCAAAACCGCGTAACTGGGGGTCCGACTGTACATATACATGCACACACCAAAGTGTGTGTGTGTGAGCACTGTATGCAGAGGCATAGCTGGGCAAGTCTGTATGCAGGGCAGCTACACAGCATTGAGACTATCCTGGTCAACACTGTCAAATGTTACCTCTGGACCTGAGAAACTCCATTTTGTCAGGGCCTGTCAGGAGACACCTCAAAGGGGCTGATCCTCTGCGAGCTCCTGAAGAGCCGGGCCCCTAAACCGTGCTTTTGGTTAGGCATACAAATGACTGTAGCTGTTAGCATGCATACACCCCCCCCATACACACACACACACACACACACACACAAATACATATATACATGCTAATGGCCACGATCATTTTGCATACGGTCCTCGGGCCAGTGCTGTTCAACATCTGCATCAGTGATTTGGACAAGGGTGTAGTGAGTGAGCATACTGTCCAAATTTGCAGGTGACACCAAATTATGGGGCAAAGCAGACACACTGGAGGGCAGGGAGCAGATTCAGGAGGATTTGGACAAGCTGGAAAAGTGGGCAGAACAAAACAGGATGCAGTTTAACAAAGGTAAGTGCAGAGTGTTGCACCTAGGGAGAAGGAACCACCAACACACAGACTGGGAGGTGACTTTCTAAGCAGCACAGCAGCAGAAAGGGAGCTCGGAGTCACAGTCGACTCCAAGATGAACAGGAGTCACTGGTGTGATGAAGTGATCGGTAAAACTAACTGCACTCTATCGTGCATTAGCAGGTGCATCACGAACAGGTCCAGGGAAGTGATCCTCCCCCTCTATGCAACACTGGTCAGGCTGCAGCTAGAGGACTGCATGCTGTTCTGGGCACCACACTTCAGGAGGGATGTGGACAGCATGGAGAGGGCCCAGAGAAGACCACCCGCACGGTCAGGGGCTTACAGGATAGGTCCTATGAGGACCTATCTGTCAGACTTGATGATCTGCTCAGGTCCCTTCCGACCCGACCAACTATGAAACTAGGAGAGGTTGAGGGACGTGGATCTCTTCAGCCTCCATTAGAGAAGGCTGAGAGGGGATTTGGTGGCCGTCTACAACTTCGTCGGGGGGCAGCGAGGAATAGGAGATGCTCTGTCTACCAGAGCACCCCTTGGAGTAACTAGAAACAACGGCCACAAACTGACAGACAGCAGATTCAGACTGGATGTGAGAAAGAAATTCTTTACAGCGAGGGCAACCAGAATCTGGACGGGCTCCAAGGGAGGTGGTGCTCTCCCCGGCCTCGGGGGTCTTCCAGAGGAGGCTAGATGTGGCTCATGTGGCCCCAGCGCTCTTTCCTGCCCAGGGCAGGGGGTCGGACTCAATGATCTACTGAGGTTCCTTTCGACCCTGAAAATCTATGAAATCTATACATATCTAACTTTGTATATGTATCATATTCGTATTTGTATATGTATATATCTTGCTTAGTCTCTAAAGGTGCACATCCACCCTGCCTCGCAGCTGCTGGTCCCACTGCTGCCGGGAGCCGCATCTCCCATCTGCTCGGTTGCAGGAGGGATAAAGTTGCCCGTGTCGGTTGTGTGTGTGCGGGGAAGGGGTCACAGGTTGAGCACGTCTGTTCTACGGCCGTGCGTGTACCCTGCCCAAATCCCTGCCTGTGCTGCCAAGCCAGGAAGAGGTTAAGCATTTTCTTCTTCCGAGTCTGGCAGTTTCTCCTCCTGGATGCATCTGGATCTCTTGCTCCAGAGGTTTCCAGCAACCCGAAACCATGACTCAACTTCATTCTCCTCCCCGCGGAGCAGGCTGTGCAGAGCTCTGCCTTGGAGAGGCAGCTCCTGCCAGGCCCTGCCTACAGCGAGAACAAAGCAGCGCTCGCTCCTGCCCGGAGATGCCAGGGTTACGCGGGGGACTGCGGGAGACAACGGCGAAGCCCGGCCCAGTTTGGCGAGAGTGGAGTTATTTCTGAGTGGGAGGGTGTCTACAAAGCCACGTATTCTTGTCCAGAGCAACGTCACGGGAGAGAAAGGAAGAAAGGAATCGTTCAGTCGCTCCGCCTGGAGAACAGAGCGGCTCTCTGGCGAGACTTGTGTCCTCTAGATCCCGAGGGGAAACGCCAGGCCTGGGGCCCTGATTCAGCAGAACAAACTTATTCAGAAAAAGTGCCCACGTTGGCATTCAGACGGGCTCGCGGGCCTGGCCTGGATGTCAGCGCACACTGAAGCGTGTTAGTACGAGGGTTGCGGAGAGTACACGGTGTCCCCTGCTCTGCCAGGACAGCCAGCATTTGGGAGCTCTGCTTCTCCCCGGTGCTTCAAAGAGGGAGCCTGAAGCGTGTCCTTAACCAGCACCGATGTTTGAGCAGTCCATGGCATTAGCTCGGCTTGCAGAAACAGTCGCGGTGTCTTCGACACGGCGTTATACCTTGGAGAGACAAACGTGGCACAGACTCCAACGCGGGGATGCACTGATAGCAGAAGTGGGACTTATAAATCAGCCCATGGGATGAGGGAGGAGGGTCAGTCTTTACAGGCCTTTTCCCTTCTCCTCCACATTTCGCACAGATGCAGCTTTATTAGAGGGACAGCAATTATTAAGCAGGTCCTAGCACTTAAGCCACCATGTCCTCTGGAGCCATGACAGAGCACGTGGAGGCAACCTGATGGATCCAGACCAGCCTCCCCCCTAACGCCATTCCTCCCTTGTGATCCTGTTTCTAGGGCAGGGGATGTCCTGGAGCAGAGAGGCGTATGGGGACTCTTTGCCAATGCCCTACAGAGTGGGCGGTAGCTGCTGCTCAACACGTAGCAACCCCACGTAGGAGTGCTGGGCTGAGGCTTAGATCCAGCTCTGCCACAGCCATCCTGCATGACCTTGGGCACAACACTTATCTCCGTGCCTCAGCTCTGCCGCCTGCAGAAGGGCTATTCCTCCTCTCTCCTGCTTCTGCAAAACCGCGAGTTCTCCAGGGCAGAGGGACTGTCCCTGACTGTGCGTAGGTGTGTGCACAGCACAAAGAAACCACAATCTCCGCTGGGGCCTTTGCCCGCCCCCGTAATACTCCCCTTACTAACTCAACACAGAAGCGAGGCAGCTCCTGCCAGCGCCTGCGAGGCTGGTCTCTGGTTGCCTGCTGGAGGTTTCTTCTTCTTCCGTGGGCCACAGAGCCCGAAGAAGGGGTGGATTTGGATGGCCCCGAGCACAACAAGTCTGAAGAAGCAGGGTGCACATGGTGAGGTGCATCATCACATGTCAAACAACACCCATTTTTCTCCAGTGAAGAAGAAACTGGAAGCTTTATTAATAGGCCAGGGCCCTGGGGCTGTGTTATTCAGTTTAAGATTGAAGAAAAACAAGTGTAATTTCATTGGAAGGAGTTAAAAACAAATCTGCAGGGCTGTGAAATAAGAGCTTTCCCAGACAGCAGAACAAAGGGCGGCTTGCTTGGAGGAACATCCGGATCAGTGCAAAGAAGAGAGCCTCGTTAACACCTGTGGAAGGAAGAGC